AAGGGCACCATGGGCACACGGCTGCGGTGACAGAGGGCTGCCAGCTCCTGCACCTGCTCCACTGCCTGCGGCCACACCACCACGTCCGGGGGGGCACACCTGGGCACAGGCAGCACCACTGACCAGCTGACTTGACCACTTGACCCTCGCCATGGCCCTTCCCCAGCCTGGCACTGTCGCCTGCCTCTTCCCTTCCCCACGGCCCTTTGTCTACCCAAACATTTCCCGGACCAGGCCCCTCCTGTATAGCCCTCCCCTTACAATGCTTCTTGCCTTCCCCCTTCCCTTCCCTATGACCCTTCCCCTGATCCTTCCCCTCCCCAGGGCTCCCAGCCCCAGGGGCACTCACGGGTGCATGGACTCATCGTGGCCGTGCTGCTCCCGCACCGCTGTGGCCGTGGAGACATTGGGGGCCCCGACCACGGTCCTCAGGGCCTCCACGAAGTCAGGGGGCAGCGAGGGCTGCGGGGGAACAACGAGCGCCCGTCAGGGATGCCCTGGACAGGGTCTGATCGCGGGCACGAGGCCGAGCGGCCACGTCAGGGCCCGAGAGGCCTTTGGAGCCCCGGCCCCACCTTGGAGCAGCAGCTGCGGCGCCCCAGGGCTGCTGCCAGCGCCAGCACCCTCCGCAGGGCCATGTTGCAACGGGACAAGAACGGCACCATGGGAACTGCACGGGACTGGGACATTGCCCTCCCCCGCAGCCTGTCTGGCCCTCCCCCACGCTGACACCTTAAGGTGGCTCCAGCCACGCGCCAGTGTGTCCCTGCCAGAGGGACCTGGGTCCCACCGGTGCCTGTGCTCATGTTCCTGTGCTGTCCCCTGCCTGGGCCGAGTCACTGCATTCACCATGGCCCCACCATGACAGGTGTCCCCATGCCTGCTCAAGTATCCCTGCAGCTGGGCAGGGGTCCATGACCCCATAGGAGACCACATGTTCCCACGCTCCTCCCTTCCCTATGAGGGGTCTGCATGCCCCCTGCCCCTCTGTTCCTGTGTGCAGCCAGGCTTCTCCATTTGGGCACAGGAGTCACCATGTGCCCCTGTCCATCTGTCCCCATTCCCAAGCAGGTGTCCCCATGCCACTCAACACTCCTGGACAGGTGTCCTCCAGCCCAGAGAACTGACCACAGCCCACCGCATGTCCCCACCCTCAGTCTGCCCTGTGCCCCGCTCCCAGGTGTCCCGGCATGGTGACAAGGACACAGTGTAGTCGGGGGGGTGGAATCGTTTATTGCGGGCCTCAGTTGGCCTCCAGGATGGAGTCGATCCAGTCACGGAGCTTGGTGACACGGGCGTACACGGCAGGAGTCTCGGTGTCGCAGGTGCTGCTGCCCCAGGAGACGATGCCCACCAGGTTCCAGGCGCCGTCCTTCTGGCACACCAGCGGGCCCCCAGAGTCGCCCTGCACGGGGCAGCGGGTGAGCACCGGGACGGGATCCAGGGCCAACGTGGGCAGTGGGGGCCAGGGGCACCTACCATGCAGGAAGTGGCTCCATCGGCGCCGGCACAGACCATCACATCGCGGATGCGGAAACCCCAGAACTCCTTGCACTGGGTGTTGGTGAGCAGGGGCAGAGCCACCTGCTGCAGCACGGCCGGAGTGTGAGAGGCTGCGGGGAGAGGGCCGCGTCAGCGCCGGCACCGGGAGCGGGAATGGGGAAGGGGCTGGGACGGGGAGGGTGGCACCGTGAGGATGGAGGAGATGGCAACAGGATTGGGTCAGGCTTGGGGGTTGGTGCTGGGATGAGGAATGAGACTGAGACAGAGACGGACATATGGGAATGGGATGGGGATCCAGATTCACATTTGTATGGGGATCTGGATGGGAGATTGCCATGAGCATTATGAGTCAGCATTATGAGGATGGGGACTGACCATATAGATGAGGAAGGGGACAGGCAAGACCTCAGACAAGGATGGGAATGGGGATTTGGATGAGGCAGGGGACAGGAATGGAGATGGGAACAAGAAAGTGCAGGTACCATTGGGGTCAGTGAGCCCCCAGCCGGTGGTGACACAGGTCATTCCCCCTGGGAATTCATCAGTGGCCTTGGGCAGGCAGACGGGGGACACGCGATCCGACAGCTGAGCAGGAGTGGCCAGTTTGATCAGGGTGATGTCGTCGTGGATGGTCAGCATGTTGAACTTGGGGTTCTTGAAGACCTGAAGCACGCAGCACTGCTCTCAGCACCCACGCCCCCTGCCAGGGTGCCGGGCACTGGGCACTCCACAGGGATCAGTAGGGACCTTGGGGACCAATGGGGACCCCGGGGGCTGCTCCTGTGGGTCCCGTGATGGCAAGGTGTCTGAGCTGCAGGGCCCAGTCCCTGGGACCCTGGGGAGCAGGGACACCCCCAGTCATGTCCCCTGCTGGGATGAAATGGACCCTGAGGCCTGAACCCCTATGCCTCGTGAGTTCCTGGGAACATGGGGACATGCAGGACACCTGACCTGAAGGATGAGTGGGAGCAGGGACACCCCAGGGGATTGCCGTGCAGGGATGTGGGACACCATGGACACCTCGGGGAACCCTGACCCTCCGGAGAAGGGGACCCGGGGACTCCTCAGGAGCACAAACCCCAGGACAAGGGGGACCCGGACATAAGCCCCCAGGCCGCCTGTGGTGGCCGCGGGATCCCGCAGGCACACGGACCCCGCCCCGCAGGTACCTTCTCGATTTTCAGCTCCTGCTGATCAGGGCCGGGTGCGTCCTGGTCGTAGGCGCCCACCACCAC